GAAATGACAAAAAGGGGGAGGCTAATCCTTAAGGAGGAAGTTTAGAGAATTAGAATTTTAATATAAAAGCTTTAAAATCTGGAAATGAAAAAACAGCCGGGACAGCTGGGAACAAAGGTATATTGTGTCGGCCTGGAAAGGACTGGCTAAGGAGTGATCTGGTGAGTGCTGCAGCAGAGGTTCAGGATGTTTTGTCTTCCAGGAGCACTCAGAATCCCTTCCCATTTAGCAGTGAGCTGAAGACCCTTCAGCAGTGAGGCTGTGAGGCAGCTCAGCTGCTGAAAAACAATGTCACTTTGCATTCCTGGAAGGAGGCTTTCAGAGTAAGCTTATCCTAACAGAGGAAGAACTCGGTGTTGAACAAATCAAGTCTTCCATCTTTTCTGAGCTCAAACAAGTGCTTCAAAAGTCTGCTTTCAGAAAGTAAGGAGTTTTGGTATAGAGAGGGCATGTTTATTTGTATAAAATCTCTTTTATAGGGTGTTTTTTCCTGTGAAGTGAGAAGCATATGCACATGTTTCTGTTACAGATACAGAGGAGAGGGGGTAAAAATAAAAAAGCCCAACCCCATTTGTCTTATGTTTGAGTAAATCCCATTGATAAATTGTTAGCAATAGGAACATTGAGACCAATGGCAAATAATACTGTAAATAATAGAATTGTAGTTGCAATGACTCATCTTTATCCTACTGCATTTCCAAGGCAGTTAAGGTTTGATGTGCCTCAGAAGAAAGTAGAAGTTTGGATGCTATTTCCCTCTTCCAGGGGAAACATACGTAACAACTTGGTTTTTGTACTGTGAACAGCGGAAACATGACTTTTTTTTTCCATCTCCCGAATTTCTGTCTGTCTAAAGAAATTTGCAACTTGAGAGGAGAGGGTTGCTTTGAGTTACTAAATTGTGAAAAACAGCTGCATAAGCTGACCCTGTAGACAGTGTAACTAGACCGACAGAAAGGTGGGCAAAGCTGATGAAATAACTAGTTTAACAACTTGTACACAATCCACGTATCCTAGCTGTGTTAGCATTTAGTCTCACAGCATGAAGTGCCAGCCTCCTTAAATATCTCCTTTAGGTAACGCTGATTAACTGCTGATAGATTTAAGTGTTTCCGTTCATCGTTAATAACTGTTCGTTTGAAAATGTGTTAAGTTTTTTAGACTGTCATAGAGTTAAAAAAAAAGCAGCATATTAATTACCACTTCCTTCTACAGATTGCTCCCAGCATTTGTGAATTCTGGCTAATGTGGACTAAATGTAACTTACTACAATATTTTGTTATTCTTGAGAATGTACAGTAGCATTTCTAGAGGTCATTGAATTAATATTCACCATTAGAATTTGTCCTTTACCTTAAATTTATCCTCAACTTCAACCAAGTTTTCTGATTTCTAGGCCAAACTGCCAACCCTTCTGTAGTTAACGTACTACCTCCCACTGCTTTTTTTTTTTAATAGTTCGTTAATAAACAATAAACTTTCAAAAATAAAAAAGGGGCTTTTAGAAGTCGGTAAGATCCTAATTCTAGATACCTCTGCCTAGTTCCAAAAGATTGATTTGTGTAGATCAGAGATGCTTGATGACATTCAACAGGCAGTCTTCTTAAATATGTGTATATATGTACGTGGTGGATTGGGTTTTTTCCCCTTATGCTCTCTGGTCATTTCTGTATTGGAGTCAACCAGTTAAATTACGAGATCAGAGCTCCACAAATGATAAAAACTTTTTTGGCTCAGTTTTTGTTGTTGTTCTTAGTACTATCATTGTATTTCACAAACCTTTTTTCTTTGCCATTTAACACGCAAGGAGAATAAGAATTGTTGCTTACAGTAAATAAATGGAAAGCAAACCCCACAGCAAATCCAGTTATGTTTCCATGACGACATTTACGCTGGTCTTTGCACACTTGCATTCTGATGGGGAGCCGCATTGTACAACAGCGGACAATCAAACCTGGTGATTAGAAATATTGGACTGTATGGTTTTGACCAGACTTCTTTTCCAAAAGAGGCTTTGATGTTGATGCTTATTTAAGTTCTGTCAAGTGGATTGTAGAGTTTTTCCTAAATAACAGAATAATACTATAATAATATAAAAAACACATCATGAAGCAATTAACCTGTGACGTGCTTGGATAAAAAAGAGGAATGTAATGGGAGAAGCGAGGGAGTTTGGTTCGTCTTCTAATCTGTGCAATGGGCATGTTGGTGTGAATACTTCCGTAACAGTGCATCGTGTGACATGCACGTATCCTTTCTCCTTCCTCCCATCCGGATTTATGCCACATCTCCTCCTGCTAGGCTCATGATTGTAGAATTCAGAGAAGTTCTGAAAGAGAAACCTAGGAGTTGTTCATATGATCTGTCATCTGGGTGTGACTGTCTCATGCTTGCTGTTAAGCCTCTCTCTCCTGTTTTCTTTTAAATTTGTGAAGTTGGGAACACGTGTCTTTATCTGTATATATTCTGAAATTTTAATCCATTTATTTCAGTTGCTTCCACCTAGTAATGTGGTAAGAAATGTTTACCATTAATTACTTCTACCTTTATTTGAAAGTAACTGAAGGAATTTCATAGAGGTCCTCACTGTCACAAAATCCCCCTCCAGGCAGTCAGCAAGAGTGGAACAGATAAAGGTTTGGGACAACGGTGAGCATATGAAGCAGTGGTAGACTAGAACAGTTTTAGCCCTTTCACTACAGCAGTCATGACCATCGTGGACCCTTTTAATATGATTACATAAAAAGTATGCCCAGCACGCTTCTCGAAGGAAAGGTCAACCTGCAGCATCACATAAATTACAGAGATGGTATCAAAATGGCTTTGCAGTACAAAACTACATACAGATTTATGAAAGGTAGTTCTTTTTAAGGTTAGACTGAGGTAAAGAGTTCCTGTGGTCCAAAACTGAGGTGTGTGTAGGTGGTGAGAAGCAACGTTGTGACTGTAGTGCTTTTTGCCATTTATTTGCCAAGACTGGATGGCCTTATTTGGGTTGATATTCCTAATTAAGCTAATTTTAAGAGGAGCATTGCTTATTACGGACAGCATTTCATTCTCAGATGGTAAGAATTTGTTCGTAGTAAACAGTCTAAGTGTAGTGTTTTCATGTTTTGAGTGTAATGGAGTCCTTTTTCTTTTTAAAAATGCCTCACACCAACCAACAGATAAGTGCTTGATTCTGTGATGGTTAACTAGGAAGACTTCCATGTTGTGACAGCAGTGACAATATACTTGTTAGTAGGAACATTTTAGTCACGGTGCCATTGTCTTTAAAATATAAGAATTGCCCAGAATCACGTTATTTGTGACCTGTACCTTAACTGATTAAATACAATAATGGATGTGCATTGAACAATATGAATTATTTGAGGTTCTTCCCTCTGAAAATAACTGTTAGATATAAAAGTCTAATAATCCTGTTTTCAGTGACAATAAACTTCAATGTTTTTCTACATAAAGAAGAAAAAGGTAAGTGAGAGTACAGATTATGGTGATCTGGAGCTCTCAGTGTAGGTGGATTCAAGCCTGACTGCGATCAGTAGCGGATAGATAACAGTTTGTTCTTAGTCATGTTTCTGGATGTTCCCATTGCATTTGATACCTTCTGGGAGCATCTGAAGTAGCACTGATGAAGAATGTATAGGTCAAATTGAGGCATCTGCTTCCACTGCTTCCTCTACCTGTATTTATTCTTTGACTGCACTGCATGAACGTGATTGACCTTTGTGTGCATGAACATGTGAGGGGCGACTTATTTTTTTTCAGTAGGATGGAGTAAACTGTATACATCAGTTAACATAGTTGTGACTATGCGTTGTTCTACAATTGAATTGTCAAAATGCATTTTCATTTTGTTCTTGCTTAATGGAAGTCTTTGCTTATGTATTGTGTGTCTGAAAAATTATGTGGCATTTTCAGGTACAGAATGTTGTCAGTGAATGGTGTTTGTTTTTCTCATCAGGTGCTGTTATATTACTTGGAAGAACCAATATGTTTCGCTTTAACCACCCCAAAGAAGCTGCTAAGCTGAGGGAGAAAAGAAAGGTGAGATTAAATCAGTGTTTGGGAAATGCAAACCTTTTCACAGTTTTCTTGCTAATACAAACATACCTTGATTGTTGTAGAATACTTTATTTATATTTGCTTCGTATCCTTTAGTTAATATTTCATCCAGTGAAACAAAGTAAGAGTTTGTAAGCACATCAGTGTTTGTCTAATACAAATAAAATAAAATTTTATGGTCTGTTGTTAGAGTGGACTGCTGTCGTCCTTCAGCTTGTCTATGACGGATCTTTCAAAATCTTGTGAGAACCTGTCAGCGGTTATGCTTTATAATCCAGGGTGAGTATATTCTAAAATGCAGTTGTTAAAATTGCAACCGTTCTTCATTCAGTTTGAATGTTCCAAATGGCAGTAATAGAAAGTATTTTGTTCTCAGGTTAATAGTATATGCTTGCTAAATAATGGGCTTCTGAATGAAGCCAGAACTTTTCAGAAATGTTATTTGAACTAGTCCATGCTAGAAAACGGGTTGAAGGGACACTGAGGAACTTTCTATCCTGCTTAAATGTTGCTTTTACCTGGGATTTCTCTGCTTAAATACAGGAAGAGTAACTGCATCAGTGAACAGCCACCCTGATAGATCTAACACAAAGAAAGTTGTAGTATCTGGAGTCTGGAAGACATCATTTGCGTTATAACCAAGGCAGTTCAGCACAATAATGACATGGCAAATTTTACATTTATGCTTTCTTCAGAATTACAGGTTAACTATTTTTCCCGAGAAAAATGCTTTGTAAACTGAAAATGAAGGTTTCTTGAGTTCATATAATATCATTACAAGCATAATAAGCCTGGGAAATGAATGTCTTACGTTCTCACCTATATACCTCCTAGTAGGTCGCCAAGTTAGGATGTGGAAAACAGTTTTATTATACAGTTACAATGACATAGACTGCTTTTTGTAGAGAAGCTGTTTTTAATGGTTTTACCAGTGTTCTTAAAGTGACTTGCAGAGAATTGATGGTGTTTTGTTCTAATTTTTTTTTTCAATAGCTAGTGCCTGTGTTTTGAATTGAGTGTGAGACGAGGCACTTTAACCACCTAGGCGCTTTTGAAAAATTGACTGTAAATTGAATTACAGGCTTGGATAGTGCAGCTTTATTCCTGAGTTTTACTGCGGGGTTGCTCTTTATCCATTAGAATTTAGGAAGATTGAACAGGTAATAATAACTTCAAGTTAAACAATGTCTTAAATACAGTGAGTACGTGTAATAATATTGCTTCAAATGTGACTGTTACTCTTTTGCTACTGAGCTACCTACAGAGATCTCAAGATAGAGAGCTAGCTGCTGATAAACTACATGTATTTTTTCAGACAGAGATGAAAGAGAAGATCAAAAAAGTATATGTATTTTTTTCTATTTCTTTAGCTTTTCAAATAGTTCGATCCAAAAACTTCTAATGACAGTTGCTAGACATTTTCTGTCGGCTGGGGAAAGTTTCTGGCTGTTTGTTACCTCTGGTTATTGATCAGCTGCCGTGGGCTTTTCCCCGACTAATAACGTTACTCTGCTACAATACTGTTATGAATAATTGTATTATACTGCACGATACTGACCTTGACTTTGCAGTCAGCATAGAGTAGAACAGATTGTTTCAGCATTGCCGCACTTTCAGCCTTTCAGATTTGCAGGAAAATATAATGGCATGGGCAAGGCCCGGTTGAAGGTGGGCTTAAGAATTATTTCCCTGCCTGAGGAGTTCATACTGTCTCAGACAGTGCCAAATTGTTTCTTATAGAAAGGAGTTTTCCTGTAACTCTTATTTTAAAAAAAAAAAAAGTGAAAGTCTGGAGAGTTATTTGATTGTCTTGATGATGGAGTAGATTGCAAATCTACTTCTAGAAGCAAATTCTTCTTTTTCTCTGATATGTTTTGTGGAATATAGCTTCTCTTTTCCTTATCAGTTTTTCAAACGTCTTTCCTTGCTTTCCTGGAAATCAAACAGTATGAATAATATAATTAAATTATCAAAGTACACAGCAAGTTTTAGAAATGCTACCATTTTTCCCATCTAATGCTTCTTGTAAGTTTTATTTCCTTTCTTGAGTGTGATTATGAGAATGCTGCTGAAATTGAGGATAAGATCAGGTGAAATATTCTTCATATTCCCAAACATTTTCTTGCCTGTGTTTTACTAGACTTCAAACTACAAGTAGAGGGTTAATTATTGATATTCTCCTGGTAGTCTGCATTCAATTAATCTTTGTGAACTGGCCTGCAGGAATAGATATTTTGTCCTGCGTCATTTGTAAACACAAGAAAGGCTTATGCTTAAGGCTTGCGTTACAGGAGGAATGCAGGTCTGCGTGACTGTCACTTGTTTGTGAGCAACAGACCCTATCTGAAGTTGTTCCCTAGTCACTGTTATGTACATATGTTTTTTTTCTAAGCAAGGAAGCTTATGGTTACATATTTATAATTTTAAACTCTTATCCCTATCTTTAGATGCTTTAACTATGTTTAAAACAATAGATGCCGTACTTAAAAATACACATTGCCCACACAGTGCAGAGGCAGTTGTCATCCTAACGCTCAGTGATTTTTTTTTTTTAAATAAAATCTCAAATAGGTCTGTTTTTACTGCTTTTATGACTGCTGCAAAGAGAAGGTAGGCTCTGAAGTTTGCAGTGTAGTTTAACTGAGCCCTGCTCTCACAAATCGGTAGAAGAAAGTGCCTTCCACAATTGATGCATCTTTATGGGCAGCAATTTGGCAATAGCAACTTTTCAGCTTAGGCTGGGGTTCCATTACAAATTTAAATTTATTTATGGTGTTGCTAACACTGTTTTTCCTTTGTGAAAGGAAAGGGGTTTTTCTGGTCATGTGGTGAGCTTGTCCAAAGAGGTGGTTCTGCAAAAAAATGTCACTTTAAAGGGAACAGGTACCTGGGGGTAATTGCAAGTTTAAAGAAAAGAAAAATATGTTTTGAATAAAGCGGATCCCAAGCATTTAGGGGTTAGTAATAATTCAAAGCCGATGACACCATATCTGTAAAGAGTTAGATGGCTTGCAGAGGACTTGAGCTCTCTACTTCCAGCTAGGAATGCTGCTTACCAAGCGCAGGGCTGTGGTGGTTATTTTTCTTAGTGGTGACTCTGTTCAGCCTGGGTAAAACATTCAATAAATCTGATCTCTGGGTATGAAAGGCAAGGTAACTGTACCCAAGGTGCTAGGTAAGGGTCAGCATCTTGCTTCCTGGAAAAGTGCAGATGGAAAAGAATATCCTACACTAAATGTGGCTTGGATTTTTTTTCATCTGGAACAATGTAGGACATGGACAACTTCCTTTGATATGACCCTTTATTACAATAGACCATAACTCATAATGTAATGGTGTACTGCCCACCAGCAGTGTAGATCTAGATTCAGTAGCTGACCCTCTTTTTCTTCTTCTTCTTTTTTTTTTTTGGCACAACTTCTGTAGCTGACCAGCATTCTGCTTATTGTTAACTTAGCGCTTTCAAGACCACCTTTTTTCCAGTTTCAGTAGTGATAACCTAAAGGCTAGCAGCTAAATTGGCAATTTCTGTAAACAGAAATAAACAGCTTGTAAGATTTAGCATCTTTAGCAATCAATGGCAGAAGAGGCTGTGGGATATTGCCTGCAGTTGTTGTGAAAGCAGATAAATGATGGATCTTGCTGACTGTATCTGTATCTTTCCTACGTGAAAGCCAGTGTTATCTTTAATTGTGTTTTCCAATGGGTGGTCTTTGTGTGTGGGTTTTTGTGTTTGGTTGTTGATTTCCTATATGTGGACATAGTTGCATAAAATTTAGGCTTAACATGCAAAATTCTTTGTTTGGCTTGTTCCTGGTCTTTGTCTTTAATCTGTTGTCATGCAACACTGAGTCAGATAATAAGCTTTGGATAAAATAGAATTTTGCACATAGATTTATGCTGAAGATTTCATTTGTGGACCTTTTGTACGCTACATTATATTGTAACTCTAAAACCACTCATGAGAAACCTTGGTCTTGTCATGGATTTAGCATGGGGTATTTTGTTTTGGTTTTTTTTTTTTTTAAATTGATCTCATAAATTGGGCTACTGAGCGGCATTGTAACATCTTTGTAGTCCTGCCAGTACTAAGTCTTTCCTAACAGATGTAGTACCAGATCACACTTTTGTGCTGTGTAAATTAAGCTGTTGTACTGTGCTAGTAGAACTGACTTCCTTTCTCTGCAGCTTATCTACACTGCTCTTATGCTAGATATGCCACATTTTCCAGGAAAATAGTGACTATTTAATTCTGCACTGATCAGATTAAGTTCCTTTTGTGGTAGATCTACAAAAGAAGAAAGAGTGAAGTCTAGTCTTTAATATCTGTGTTTTTTTCAATTTCAAGCTAATATTTTTTTCTATTCACAGTAGTGCTCACATTAATAAAGGGAGTAGAGGTTATATGAAAAAGATTTTTATAATGGATAGACTACACCAAAAAACATCAATCTTGCGCCTGTACTTTGTAAAACTGGCAGTGATTTGTTATAGCCAGTGATGTTTTTGGTGATGTTGAGGGTTTTGGTTTTTTTTGGACTAGCTTCTTCAAGAAACACAGTTTCTGCAATCATTGACAGCCTGTCCTGCCTCCCTGGATTCTCTGCTGTCCTGAAATAACTTTGAACTCATAACCAGTTTGAAGCAAATACTGCTGAGGGAATGATCTCAAAAGTGGTGAATTCCTAAATATATTGAGAAAATAGGCAGCCAGCTAAGGAAGACAGGCGTCATTGTTACCCCTGTAGAAATAAAGGCTGCAGCGTGAGCCTTTGATAGAGAATAGAGACACTGTGAATAACCCCATGGTAGGAGACCCTTCAGGGGAGCTCAGACCTTCTTAGGCACCGCTGAATCTACGTAGCGGCAGAACACCAGGCTACGTTAGCCTGTCTGTTCATAGGAGTATTCTTTACTTGTCTAAAATACATCAAATACGCATTTTTAAAACAGCTAGGTGTAGTGTTTGGAAGCTGTTGTTTGGAGTGTTGATGATGATCCATATTTGGCTTTGGGAAATAGCTATTTTCCCTGAAGAAAGAACACTTCTGCATAGTTCATTCCTCTTCCCTGAGCAACCTTTTGAGCACCACTGGCTTTGTTTCAGCGTAAGGTAGAGCTGATTGTTGTGATGCTAGTGTTGAAGGTATTAGAGATGCTTCCTCAAAGAGAAAATCCCAGAGTTTTCACCAGTGACCTGTTTTTATATCAGACTGATTGCTATGATGACTCATTTTCCTTGTATCGGGTCTCAATCAAAAGCTGGTTACCATTTTTATGCACATATAAAATATATTTGCGCAATTATGTGTTTTATAGGACAGTCAAAATATCAAAAGATTCTTGCTCTGGGTTTTGCACATTATGTTAGCTGATCCAAAACACCTTACTTCGTTATGGCTTAACCAAGCATGGGAATACTTGTAAATCATCTTTGCCAGCTGTCTAAGCAAAGATGGTCTACATCTGACAGCGCCCAAAGGACATCTGCATTTCCACAGACGAGAGCTATATTCCCCAGGGTCTATATTATTTTGGATTAAAGTAATGATGAATATAGTGGTATTTGTCAGCCGAGCCCTAGGTAAGAAGTGATAATTCACAGCTATGAATTCCCGAGGTAGACCATAGCCACAGCAAGGGCTTTTGAGGTATAGCTTAATAAAAAAAATAAAGGGGACGATGGGACGTGCAGGCTAACCATTTAATTAAGCTTTTGCTTTTTGAAGGTCCCTTAAGATTGCTTTTTCTTCTCTTTGCGTATCTTCATGAATTTTGCATTGCTGCTACAGAAATTATGATAAAATTAAAAATATGAAGTAGTTGTCATCTCTCTTTTTGTGCTGTAATGTTGAGATAGTGCCCATCCTGGACAGAGTCTTAATTCAAATGTGAAGGGGGTCTTGGTGAGACATTTACATGAAGGCTCCGGATGTTTGGAGTTGTGTATAAAAATCTACATTTACTAATCTCTTAAGCATTGCAGAAGGTATTTTATTAAAATGAATTTATGAAAAATAGGGAAAAATGGAATTTGTTAAACTAGTCTTTCTCCAGTATTGCAGTGGTTAGAAAGATGCTTCTTGAACATGTAGGAATCAAAGTTCATTTAAGTTGCTTTATAAACATTAGATTATTGGTGTATTTTTTTGCGTGTTTGCAAGGGCAATTCCTTTTTGTTGTAGGCATTTGTATGATTTTTAGAAAGAAATATTAAACCCACTTTATTTAAAAAAAAAAATCTACAGAATTAGAGTCATGACATCTTAAACTGCAGTTTATCAAATACTTGAAGTTAAATTGTGTTGCAGTCTTAAATTTTTTCAGTGTTTATGAACTGTCTCACTAACCTACAAACTCCTTAAGCTGTAGTAGGCCTGAAATAATGGAATATTTGTATATTTGGTTGAATATTCCAGTCCGTATTTAATATTATTTTGAAAGATTTCTGTAAAAAAAACTATAAATCTTTGAAAGGAAATTAAGAGAAAGACTTCTGCACAACTGCAATAAGAGCTGATATTAAAAATGACATAAAATACTCATAATTTTTAAGAACCTCATCAAGCTAGATACACTAAAATCTTGAAATATTTTGGATGAATGGGTTTGGATTCTGTTCTGTGTCTGAATGTTGCACGTTGTAGGAATATGAGGTTTTTCAACCTCACCGGTTACATCATAGTAATGTTTGAGGTTTTCTTCTTTTTCTTGGGAGGAAAAGGAAGAACTACAAGCATGCTGTAGAGTATTTTTTTTGCGCTTTCCCTTCTCAGAAGTGGCCAAGTTAATAAACCATAGGAAGAGGACCATCGATTTAACTATCGTTGGCATTTGAAAAATGCGTTTAGAAAGAATAATTATTTAAATTTTACTTTTGAGTTGTGCTGTGACAAATGTTCTATGAATCTAACCAATTTAACCTCTAATAAAACAAACTGTTGTTGACTTTAAAATATCGTGTACCGCTAATATGTTTTTTCTATCAATTCCTTTCTTAATTGATCGCTCTGTTTCCCCCTGCCTCCCATGGCAGTCTTTTCCCTGTAAAAGGACCGATCTGTCTAAGGTAGAGAAATTCAATTTCTATGTATTGATTGCCATGTCTGCATGTAGTTAACTTGCAGAAGCTATGCTAATCACTTATCTGTCTTGTTTAACTTTTACTTTTTAAATAGCTGGTTTTTTCCCCCCAGAAATTCATTTACTTTTCTGTTTGTACTCATGTCAGACAGCATGATATCTAATTTGTAACCCTAATGAAGGAAATATTTTCTATTATTGTAGAAAGTAGTTTTATAAAACTCTTTGTATCATTGTTATAATCTTCTAAACAGACACTGAATTGCATCATATCATCCTATTCTTTGTGATACTTGGGAAATAACCTTTTTACTGTGGTTTTTTTTTTTAATTAGGCTAGAATTTGAGAGACAACAACGAGAGGAGCTTGAAAAATTAGAAAGTAAAAGGTAACGTTCTCTATGGTTTTTACATGTGTGCGTGTGTGTGTATATATATACACGCACACAAGTTGTAGACTCATTTAAGTCATTAATTTGGAATCACGGTGTTAGCAAGCACAGGATCCTGATATAGATTATTTTATTTTGTTTTGTATTTGATGAAGATTTTGGTTATTTTCTTGAACTATTCATTCTTATTGATTAGTAACAGATAGACAAACTGAACTGTAGCTACCTGTGATCTTTGGCAAAGAAAATACCAAATGCAACGGTATGAGGAGGGTAGATTATACAAATGTAAGATGTTACTCTCGCTCTTAATTTTCATGGTATTATTTTAAAAGATGGCAAATGACATTATTCACATCTTTTTTTTTATGGTTTAGTTGCTTTTGGATTGAATCTTGATTGGAAAAACTCACATTAGAAATTCTGCTTCTCTTAAATAAAACTGCAGTGCTGATATAGGCATACCAGTCATACTTATCAGAACATTATTTTGAAATCAGTTTGAAGTACAAAAGAAAATATTGTTGCCAGGTGGCAAACTGAGCTGACTGTTCTGGCTGCTCATACTTGCTAAGTAATAGCTCTCACCTTGTTGCAGATCACAGCATTGATCAGATTCATAAGCTGAAAGCCACTTTCTGCCATCTCAGTTCAGACTGCTCGCTCTGTTGTGGAAGAGCTATTTATGTAGTTGGACTCAGTTAAGTAAACTCAGAAAAAGCCTGAAACTCTGATGCATTAGAAGATGTTATTCAGAAAATGATGCAACAGAATCACTGATATTTATCCTCTTTGTTATGTTGCTAGGATTTGAATTCAGTTTATACTGAAGTTGCTTTGCTTGTGTTTTAATTTATCTGACTAACTTCTCTCACAAAAAACAACCGACTTGCAGGTTGTCTCTGCGTGTATTCAGGCGATTGTATGATGGGGATAACGGTGACCTTCAAATCTCAGTCTGTCCTCATTTGGAATGCACTAGAACCTTTAAACGAGAGATTGCACAGGACATAATAATTTGTCTTAAAGTAATTTCTCTCTCAAATATGTCTGTTCCTAATCTTATAATCCTGTTTATAAATAATTCAGTTGGGTTCACCTAAAGAGAAGACATTGTTTCTATTCATCTGTTGGCTTAAATTTGGTGAGGTAAATTTCTAATCAAGTCCTTTTATACAAGTTTGTGTATATGAGAATGTATGTATATATAAATGTATATATATTTACTCTTCACTGTGTTCTATCAATATTTTCATTGGATTTGACAGAACTAATACAGTCTAATTTTCTACCAACACAAATGCTATGTACCATATTCTCCCGTAACTTCATGTATCTGCAACTTTTTATGTTGAAATAGGCTATAGGCATTGTCTCATGCATTGAGTCACTTCCAAGCAATATAAGATCTTAACCTGTGGCAAAACAAAACTATTAAAAAAAGAAACCGTTATATATGCTGCAAAATCCTTGTCCAAACCTTTTTAACTCCTAAGGCATGTGTTGTCTTTTGGAGAAAAAGAGAAGTTTGAAATATTGCATGTAAATGTTTTACTGTAGGAAACAGATAGAAGAGATGGAAGAAAAACAAAGATCTGATAAAGCAGAACTTGTAAGAATGCAGCAAGAAGTAGAGTCACAGCGCAAAGAGACAGAAATAGTACAGCTGCAGATTAGAAAACAGGAAGAGAGTCTGAAACGGAGAAGTGTTCACATTGAGAGCAGGTTAAAGGATTTGCTAGCTGAAAAAGAAAAATTCGAAGAGGAGAGATTACGGGAACAACAGGAGATAGAGCTTCAAAAGAAAAAGCAGCAGGAAGAAATTTTTGCCCGAGTCAAAGAGGAGCTGCAGCGACTGCAAGAACTTAATCATAACGAGAAAGCAGAGAAAATGCAGATTTTCCGTGAACTAGAAAAACTTAAAAAGGAAAAAGATGAACAGTATATTAAGCTGGAATCAGAGAAAAAGAGACTTGAAGAACAAGAAAGGGAGCAGGTGATGCTGGTGGCTCATCTAGAAGAACAGCTTCGAGAGAAGCAGGTCATGATAGAGCTCCTGAAGAGAGGGGATGTACAACGAGTTGAAGAAGAGAAAAGAGATCTTGAAGATATTAGAGAATCTCTTTTGAAAGTTAAGGAAGCCCGATCTGAAGGTGATGAAAACCATGAAGAGTTACAAAAAGCACAGCATGATTTTGTAGAGTTTAAAAGGAAGCAACTGGAACAGTTAACTATTTTGGAAAAAGATTTAGTTCAACAAATAGATCACCTAGAAAAGGAAATAGCAGATGAAAAAGGAGCTCTGGAACGCTTAAAATTTGCACATGAGGAAGACTTAAATCTCAAGAGAGATGATGAAAACTTTGTGGATGCCATCCTCAAGGCTGAAGAAGTTGACAAGATAAAACCAGCGGAGTACAGGCTCCAATCTAAAGTACGCCAGCTTGAGTACCTGAAGAGTAATCACTTGCCTGCTCTGCTGGAAGAAAAACAAAGAGCTTCTGAAGTCCTCGATAGGGGCTTGCTAGGGTTAGATAATACTCTCTATCAAATAGAGAAAGAAATAGAAGAAAAAGAAGATCAGCTTGCCCAGTATAAAGCTAGCACAAATCAGCTGCAGCAGCTTCAAGAAACCTTTGAATTCACAGCCAATGTAGCTCGTCAGGAAAAAAAGGTTCGGAAGAAGGAAAAAGAAATCCTCGAATCAAGGGAAAAACAGCAGAGAGAGGCACTGGAGCAAGCTGTTGCTAAGTTAGAAAGGAGGCACTCCGCTTTGCAACGTCGTTCGACAATAGACTTTGAAATTGAAGAGCAGAAGCAGAAGCTTGCCACCTTGAACAACAGCTGCAGCGAACAGGCGGGTCTGCAGGCTAGTCTAGAAGCGGAGCAAAAAGCCCTCGAACAAGACCGAGAACGGTAAGTGTTGTGGCAGCTTCCATTTATTAGAACCTGTCCACAAAAAGTGAATCATTTTATACCTCGATGTTGAGAGAGTGACTTGTTCTGTGTCCCAGTACTTGAGTTTCTTGATGAGTTTCAGGTAGTTTACCCAGAATTGAAACTCTGTATTGCTTTTTAAAGAATTCTTGTTCACTCATTAATTTCTGTTGTGTTCAGATACTTATCCCATCCTCAGCAGTATAGTATTTGCATTAGCCATCACAGTACTAAATCGATCAGTTTACCTATTTAGAAAGCTCAGCCAACCTTATGTTCTGCCCTTACAAAATCACGTATCATCTAACAACTTTTTTTCTCTTGAAATATTAATGTATAACGTTTCGTTGCTTTTTTGGTAACAAGCTAGATGTTTGTTCAAGACTTGGAGACTGATAGTTGCAGTAGACTGCCAACTATGTGTCTCAACTCATGATGTACTGAACACTTCTGGTATTCAAAGTAAACAGGTGTAATGTTTAATTTTTTTGTTATTGGTTTCAGAGGTAAGTAAAATAGACTAGCCATATATCCATGTGAAATTTGATAGTGGTTTTTAAGTTTATTTGAAAATATACAGAGGCTTTAATACAGCTCTAGGTGATGACAAACTCTTTTAGGTACAGAAGCAATGCCATCGGTTATAGACGTGATACCTGGTACTGTAGCCTAGCGTTCAGGTTAAATATGGGAGGCTCAGAGAAAAGTGGTTCGAGTAAGGAAGGGTCCTCCTTTGGGGAGGAAGAGGAAAAAATCTTTGGCTTTATTTTTTGGCCTGAGCAAAAATCCTCTGGGATTAATGCATTTAATCCATGCTGCATGGAAAAAGGGCAGAATTGCCATTTTTGAATGTGTTGTCTGATTTGCTAATACTAGAGCTTTAAAACTTGTCATTATTGATACAACAATGATGTGTGGGGTTTGTTTTTTTTTTTTCTTGAGGTAGCATTTGTCGTTTGGTTTTTAATATTCCACTAATTATCTGACTCTTCTTTCATAAGCCCTTCAAACAGATGCTTGATTAGAAAAAACACCTAAAAAAACCCCTTGCCTATAGCCAAATTGAAGAGCTCTTCTGTATCCTTTTTCTTTTCAACCATTATCAGAAGAGAATAGTTCCTTTCTATACCCCATGTAAAAGTCACTTTTTCAACATTTAGAGCCACATTCTGTGGATTTTAGTGAAACACTTTCAATACTGATGTATCATTTTGTTGTGGATATTGCCATTATTTTTCATAATTATCTTGAACATAAAATCTCATTTTCTACACTAAGCATCTTGCTTGACTAAAGTCAGCTATAAATAACTGGAGGTTCCACAAAAAATAGACAGCTTACCCCTCAAGAGATTGCTGGGTTGTGTGATAAGTGAAAAAATATGTTGTCAGCTAGAAGACTGAGGTTTGGAAAAGATACCAAGGAAGCGAAAAGGTCTCTCTTTTTCTTATTTTTTTTTCTTGTTTACTTTTAAATCGTCTTGCACAAACTGAATAAAACTTTGAAGTCCTTCAGTCAATTGCCCAGGGGCCTGAATAATTCAATTCAGAATGTTGTTATGAATGTTGAGGCAAAAGAAAATCTTAAGATACATGATAGGATGTTAAATTTTTCAGGCTACTTAGCGCCCTTGTGTTTGAGTTTACACTTCAGAGTACACAATGTCTTGGGTGCCATAGTAAGCATATGAATTGTATATGTTTCTTATTGTTTATCTAGATACCGTTACATGATGTGCTCTGATTCAGATCGCTGTTAACTCTCTGGAAATGTTTAAATGCAATATTTATTTGAAATGCTCTGTGAGCATAAGTCCATCATAACTGGATTTTTTTAAAAAATTTTTTCCAGTTTGAATAGTATGTTAGCTCAAATTCTTTCACCTACAGGGATGACTCCTAAAAGGATAATTTGAAGTTAACTTATACTGGAATAATGCATACACGTTTTGTCATGCTGGCAGAGGTTTGCGGCAACAGAATGAACATAAACCAACTTTAGAGTTGTCTTTGAGACAACGGGATGTATTGCTTACAAGCGGCAAGGTGCAGTTTAGTGTACTTACTAGTGGATACATCACATGGCTGAGTAAGTTTAGGAAGTGATATCTTTTGATAGTAGGATGTTTACAAATCAAGAGATAAGCTTCGTTCCTTTAATGTAATTCTGATTTTTGTGGTTAAATTGATTTTCAATAGATGCAAACACTCCTATATCCATCAGCCATCTTCCATCCACTTTCCCTCAGGATGCAAGATTGCTTTGCTGCTCTTCAAAAGAAACAGATGGCTTCTGGCAGTGCTGCAAAAAGTACTCTAAAAATGAAGTAACAATTCAGCCTGCTTTACTCCAACCTAAGCCTTCATGTCTTTTAATTTTCTGTTTTAACCTCCAGGATGGGATAAAGTAGTTGTAGGATTGTGCTTCAATTTAGCTATATGCAATTGTAGGATAAGCAGTAGAATTCCAACTTTGCATGGTTTGCCCTGCTTTTGCAGGAACTTCTTTCCTTTTATTCTTTAATTTTCAAGTAACCTCTCAAAAAACAATTACCTTCAGAGACAAAAGTTGTAATGGAAATGGAGAAGATTATTACTGTGTTACTAATCTAATCTCAGCTACATTACAAGTGAGAAGTGTGTTCTGCGGATTACTTCGTTATAATATAGCTTAATTTGACTAAGTAATAAATATTGCAAGAAGTGCTTCTTATTTTATACTAGATGCCCTGGGCATTTTCAGTCAAAAATACGGTATCCAATTTTACATATTCTATTCTGTGCATAAATCTGGCTGGTATGAAATTTATTTGTTAAAGTGAGGAGGTTTCTATTTCAAAAGATGATTTATTGGGTATATATGAAATAAATACTAAATGTTTTATTTTGTAAGTAATTTTTCCAAAATATATTTACAGACAACAGGAATAACTGGAAATAAGGTTTATATGTATAATACACAATTTGAAGATTTTCTTACATGTTTTGCCACATCATTGTTTTAGGTTGGGTTTGGTTTTTTTTTTGATTGGTGCTGTAGTTTCAGGTTTTTACTTCCCCCCCATTTATTCATTTACTTTACACTGGAAGCTAATAACTGAGGTCATTGATAGAGTTCTATAACGAGGAAAGTTTATTCAATTGATCCTAATAGGTTAAGTCTTCTGAATTAATATTTGATGTGCTGAGCTAGATACCTTTTGCATTGGAAGTTACTGAAGTTGGTTTATTTAACTTAATACTGCTGTTGTGATGTGTTTTTGATCTGTCTCTATTTTCCTATCTAAATGTGCTTAAAGAACAATTACCATTTTTTGTATCTTCATAATTGTTAATACCTACGATCTGACATACATGTGTCCATCCCAGTCTAAATGCAGTACTTCCCATAAGCACTATGGGAACTGACTCTAAAACAAAGCGAGTTACATTTTAAGATCTCTTTATAGCCTGGACCAGGAAATTCAGCAGCTGAAGCAAAAAATATACGAGGGTGATGGTGGTCAGAAAGGAAATCATGGAACACTTGAAGAGAGACTCTCCCATACCACCTCCCCTACCAGCCCAACAAAGCCACAGCCACCCGCTGCTCCGCTAGTTGATGATAGGTAGGTAACCCGCATTTCTGCGATATTTTCATAGGAATGCAAACAATAGCTTTAGAAAAGAAATATTTTCAAAGATTGTTCTGCCAGGGTTGGGTTTTAATTAAATACTGTAATTGTACTTAAAGACTAGTCTGGAAATAAAATTAATCTGCTGTGGTTTACTTTAAATAACCAACAGGGTAATCTGTTGCTCCTGTGCATTTTGTTTTAGAATAGAGGCTTGTGAAACTGTAGGCTTAAATGGATTTAAATTTTTCTTGTGTGTACAGTCACTTGTCTATATACTATTGCTTTATATAAACTTAAAGCAACAAAGTAAATGAAATTGTCTTAAGCCTTTTTTAATAGGGCAGCTGCCTGATATCACTTAAAATCTATTTCCTCTCTGTTCTTTTTGCACTGTTTACACTTAAACGTGCAGTTGTTAGTATCAACTCTTGGAACATTCCTTCTGTTTGAAGACCAGAGCTTTATTAGCCTGAATTGCTGATATTGCAAAAGTGATAAAAGCAAACCATTAAGTAACTAAAGATGCAGCCCCAGCCTTTTATTTATTCTTCATCGCTTTTACCCTCAGTGCCGCTTGTATGTAGAGCTATACACGTAGCAGTGGCTTAACTTGTGGTCCATTAAATTGTCTAATTGTGATAACAAATTGTTAACCTTCACCTGTTAAATGAACACTTGCTCCAAAGTCCATGTTCCTTAAGGAGGGATAAAACTGATCTAACATTAAGCCTGCCAATGAAGAGTTGTGCAGTACTTAGGGTTCATAAGTGTTTCAAAGAGCCCTTTGGCTTGTCTTGATTTTTATCTAAGAATATACTTTTTTTTTCTTCCATACTCTTCTATATCTTGAAGGATAAATGCCTTTATTGAACAAGAAGTGCAGAGAAGGCTCCAGAATATTCATCATAAAGCTGAGGATAATGATGTTAGCCTGTCCTGGTCGACAGAAAGTTTGAAGGTGAGCAGAGATAGGTAGGAAGTCCTGACCTTCAGTGTACCATGTGTAACCACTGCTTTAGTTTTTGTTTTTCAATTATTTCCATGTTTTCCTATGTTTACTTAATTTACCAAATAAGTAAACAGTAAAGTAGGAATATCAGTTTTAGATTTTGATTGTCTGTCTTCCCCCCCCCCGCCCCCAGTTTTATGTTGTATTCCATTTTTTTGCAGGGAATAGTGTGTAAATGGCAATGGGAAGCTTGCAGATAAAATAAAAATCTTCATTTCGTGTCTGTAAAATACATTGATAAAATTCCATCCAGAAAAACAGTAATTGTTTATACTTGCAAACAAATGCTCATTTAAAAAATGGTGATCTAATTAATCCAAAGATGGGGTTGATTGACTTCTAAGCCAGTGGTTTAATAAATATCAATAAGAAAATAGGGGGTTTTTGCTATTAAAACGAATGTCTCTTCCTATGAATACTTTTAAACGCATTTATACAAGAAAGGCACTCTTTTAAATAATCACCTGTACCTGTTTTGTTCTTAGGATAATGAGAGGCTTAATAATGGCACTATTCAACGCAAGCTGAAGTATGAGGTAGGTCATAATTTGTCAGAATGAAATGGTTGTCTTAAATTATGGCATGCCCTGTAATTAAATTTCCTAATGTTTAGCTGCATAATTAGAATTTTGAATTCACAGCAAGATAAATGGCTAATAGAGACAGCGATGCATTCTGCCAGATGGAATTAAAGTGATTTTTTTTTTTTCTCCCAGATTTTGCCTAGCTTCTTCCTTACTTGAAACGTGTGGTGTTATTGTGGATCTTTCTTCCTTGTTTTGTCATGATTCTTAATTTGGAACAGTATCCCTTTCCTGATTTTTAGAGGTTAAAAGCATTTAATGAGGAGAGATTGTCTGAATTCAGAATACCACTTCACATTTTTGACTCAGAGTGAACTCACTACTGTAAGGGTGTCTATAATATCAGCAAGTAGCATTGGGCAAATTTGCCTATGTCATTGAAGGATTTGTATGTGTAGTCTTAAACTAAGACTTAGACCCCTCTCAGTGTATTTGGTTGCCTAACTTTTGCTTGAAACACAGTTAATTACTTGTCTTGGTGAGTAAATCCTAAATACCTTTATGGATTTAAACCTTATTAGTGGGAGGACTACGACACCTCTAATTTGGACTTGTTTTGACTTTTATACTGTTATTTTTAAACTGTGTTGGACTTTTTATGCTATCTTGGATAGTGTAGGATTACTATTTTGTGCATGTGTGGAAAAACAGTAAAGGGCTTATAAATTTCTGTGTCACCCTTTGGCTTTCCTGTGTTTTTCGAGTAAAGTGAATATAAACCAAGTGAAATGGATACTGTACAAAGAGAAAGCAGTGGTGGGCTGGGAAGATCAACTATTCCTGAATCAGACCTCAATCACTTCTGTTGGATTTTCTCTCTCTAATTTTGAGAGATTGTGCAATGATTGTACCAATTTTGAATGATTGTACAAACCTAATCAAAATCAATCCTCAGTTCAAGAAATGTTCAAATCAGAAGGTTTTATAAAGACATTTCTATGTTCTTCTTTTGAAATTTTTAACAGAAAAGTCAACAGTGGCAGCCACATTATGGCTTTCCGTTTATGTCTAAAGATGGCAGTTGTGCTTCTGAGTTGTGTGGAGAAAGCACAGGAGTAAGAGACCGTAAAACACAGAAGGAACATTCAGAGATGTGGGATTTATTTTCCAGTTCTGGAAGAATCTCCTCCCCTTTTACATCAGAGAAGGCATTTGAGAATGAAAGGAGTAATTCAGAACAGGAGAGCTTTGCTTGTCGTTGTGACATTGAAAGTAGTTTAATTCACTCTAAAAACATTAATACTTTAAAGAGTAAGAATGTTCCTTATCAGAATGTTTTATCTACTTCTTTACAAAGTCACGACTTAAATAAGGTAGCTTATTCGCTTTGCAAGGTTGAAAACTTCAATCATCTTGACGATAAGATAATTACTTCTTGGGATTGTGACAGCTCAAGAACTGAATCTGATTGTTCCCACTTGAAACAGCTGTCTTCTGTAGGATCCTTAATGGGTGCTAATGAGCAGGCTGACTTTAACAGCGTATCATGCCTTGTCTTTTCTCAGGCTAATGTGCGTTCTGAAATAATAACTGGTAAAGAAAACAGCCCATTTAAGACAGTGCACCCAACAATCGAAGACCAGTCTGGTAATTCTCAGCTTCCAACACAAACGTCCTCTGATTTGATTTCTTTTAAGTCAATAGCTTCTCATTCTGATGTGAGCCCAAAGCACACCTATGGTTTGGGATATCTTTTCCGCAAGCTTTCCTGCCTTTACAAAGATACCAGTAGTCAGCTGCTCAACAGTACGGTGGTTTCTAAACAAATTAAGGAGCTGGGAAGTTTGTGTGATGGAAGCGAGAGATGCGCACAAGCGGTATCATTAATAAAAAATTTGCCATTTATAAGAAACTTGCAGGTAAATATATTCTTCAAGTCGGATATGAATCAAGACATGCCCCACTCTACTGATAATGCCAAAGCTCGTACCGAGAATGTCATTCAGCCTGAATCCCCTGTGCAAGAGGCTATCACGATGTGTGTAAGCACAGAAACCTCCGATGCCTGCGCAAGAAAGCTCTCTGAAGGATTTGCGTGCTGTTGTAAAAATGAAGAGCTGGAGAACAGTCTTGTGTTAAGACAGAAACTTGTGCATTTTCCTGATATCTTTTTGAAGCTTCAGGTCTGTTCTCTGGAAAAAGTGCTGGAATTTTTGACCTGTGCCTTACCTCAAATTTGTATTAGAATGAAGGAGTTAAAAGGTATATATTGGCTCACTGTTGGCAATTGCAAAAAACCTGATCCAGAACCTGCTTGCTTGCTTTTGTTCAACTCCGTTCTGTATGTTGTTGTTTCATCAGTCGAACAAGACGTCTGCCAGAGTTCCTTGGCAATGTTTCGTGAGATTCCCATCGTCACAATAAAGGAGATTCAAGTTGGCTTTGCTGGACAGAATATTAGTCTTCTGTGTTCTGCTGAAGAGGGTTTACTCACAATATTTACCTATAACAAACACTTCACTCAAAGAATTTGCCGTGACATAATGAGCGTTTTGATTTCAGCAACGGATGACGCTGTTTATTTAAATCACCAGCTCTTGAAAGATGATTTGATGCAGATTGCGCTTGACTGGACATCAGAAGTAAATGACTTCATGTTTTCAAACGGAGTACGATTGTCCTGCAAATTTAGGACCGAATTAGCTGATCTGGTTTACTTACTACATGAAAATATGGGAAGTATTAAACCTTCATTAGGTGACATTCATGTACTGCTATGTACCTCAGTGAAAGTAGACTGTGCTAAGCAGACTATGTATAGATCTCTTGTTCTTACAACTACTCATATAGGTCTCTTAAGGGAAAATAATGTCTTTTATCCTGCATCTAACTTTTTGGATGCTTCATGCCAGCGATCACGGTTTGACAGCCTTCAGTTGTACAGTTTGAATGATATCCGATGTGTAGTTTTGCCAGACAAAGAGAATTTCACAAAAGTTGAGCTTGTGTTTTCTAGAAGGAGCAAGGTTGGATCTGATTCAGGAATTGGTTTTTCTAAATACTGTGAAAAAGAAATAAATACTCAGCTGACAGTCATCCCATCAATTCCTCAAAGTAGTTTGCATATCCCTTTGGAAATCTGGAAATTAACATTCAGTTCAAGTGAAGAAGCCATTTGGCTAATTATGCATCTGACTAGGTATTGAAATCCAAATACGTTTAGATACATTCAAAATAAGAGGCTAATGAATATTGATAAAATATTTTATTTTTTATTTTTGTTGTTAATATCAGTAAGCAAAAGAGTCCTCTGAGTCTGTAAGGGAATACCATAGGGAGTGTACACACATCTTAGCAAAAATCATTATTACCTGAGTGCTTGCTTTCTGTGGGTCTCTGATACGCTGTACATGCATTTCCTTGGGAAAGTGAGGAAATTAAATGTTTCTATTGTATGTCGTAGGTGGATCAAAACTATAATTACAGCTGTGCCTTCTGATTTCCAGTTTGGTTGTGTTTTCTGGCTCCCTCCATCTACTATCTGTCTTCATTACTGTCTTCTCCATTCCTCCTTGATTACCTTTTCCTTAATCTTTCTGAGTATCTTTGTTTTTCATGCTTCTCACTTATTTCATGACCTTGATCTCAGTATTTCAAAACATCTGCAATACTTTTTTTTTTTTTTTTTGTCTGAACCACAGGGTGCGTTTAGATTCTTACGGTACTTTCACTGTATGCTCTTAATACTAAGAATGGTTTTAGCTTTTATGCGTACAATTTTGGGAAGAACAGCATTGACAACCCTCTTCTACTTTGGAGTTTTGCGTGAAGAATTAGTGCACTCCTGCATTGAAGTTTGTCACAAGTGCTAAAGGAGTTGTGTTTTGGCTTATTCTAAGCGTGTTGGCTGAATTACCAGGAATCAATGGGTTTGCCATATCTCTTTTCCCTGGGTTTGCCCCCTTTGCGTAGAGCCAGGAGAGTGTAGGCTGCATGGAAGCAGTGAAACAGAACAAGAAAAATGCAGAGAACATCCAATCCTCTCTTTAAATTTCCCCCTCCCCTCCTTTTCTTGTAGGGAAGCAATTCATGGCTTTAAGTCATTCCTATTTATTTTGTCCAAATGGTTAATTTGTACTCTGCCGCAATAGAATAAGTTCTTTATATTCCCTTGATGTGAGTGCTTAAGGAAAATGTGATGTGAAAATGAACCCAGTTAAAGCATGTAAACAGGTGTTTGTTGTGCTTTAAACAGTATTTTGACCTTTGTTCATGCTAACATACCTGTGGTAAGACAAGCATTTTGGGGTTTATGATCTGCATACATGTTTCTCATGCTGTTAAATGGATAGTTAGCAACTGGGGATACTGCCGGAAGGATGGAGTCCGTTTAACACCATGTAGCTTGCCTGACTTGACTTTCCTCCTCTTCTGCTTGATTACTGATGGAGTTGTGGAGACTGTGAGATTGCATCTCTGACAATCTCTTTACTATTACACTCCAAGAAGTAATGGAACCATTGAACATGAGTAAAAGATTTCCATTAGCTGAGGCTTGCCTTTAGCTTAGTACAAGGTTATTCTTTACCTGTTACCCCTGTCGGATGTTTGAATAATAAATAAGCTGTTATCCCCCATCTTTTGTTTCTTCCCTTGTTAAAGGGAGCTGAATACCTTTGAATCCTGTTGCTTGAATGCACCATCTGCCTTGTTTGAGGAAGATGGTCCTTGGCAGAAAACACAGTGGTGTCTAATCTGAAATTCTAAATTCTTTAAGCATATTGCCAGTAGAGGTGTAATCTTCTACTAGACAGAGTTAGACTACAGTCTCTCTACTGGTAGAAGAACATTTCCCATTTGTTCTTACCATATGTTAAGATAGGGTAATGTAATTCATATGGGATTTAAAAAGAAATAACTTGCATTGGATGGGGAAGTTGTGTCTGGAAGGATGAATGGTGGTTTAGATACAGAATTCAGTTTTTGATTTTTTTTGTCATAACAAAACCTTCTACTACCTTGAGAAATTCCAAAGATGAACAAAATGTGTCACATTATTTTGAGGTACGTTTTTTGTTTTTAACAAAATGTACACACAAACATGTCACAGAACATGGAGCAGAGTAGTTATGAGTTGGAGCGTAACCTCGAGTCAGTCCAGCTCAAGAGTGGCTCCCTCATTGACATCACCAAGGCATTTCTTCTACGGTGAACGTTAACATTGAGTAGCACTGTCTGGGAGAACTGTTTTAATCAAGGCTGCTAAATGATGGCAATTTCTGCAATGAATTCCTTTTCAAATTATACCCCAAATTTAAATGTTTGTGTATGTTCTAGATAAGATGGTTTTCGTCTTTTGTGTTTGTTTTCAAATCTAACTCAGTGAACATTCTGCACTTTTTATGAAAAAATTACTTCACAGCAATATCTTTTATTCTACTAGAACTAAACATAATGATCGATGTTTATGACTATCAAAGTATTATTTTAATATATTGGGGCACGTTTCTCACAACACTTTGTGTTTGAGATTATTTTCCTCTCTGACTATTAGCTGTTTGTAATAGTTCTCTGAAAATGACTGCCAATAAATTACGTGTTGACAGAGGTGCTTTAAGAGTGACTGTATGGTTTTATTGTTGTTTTAAAACAGATGATATTGTTGTCAAGGCACCGAACTCCTCTTTCCCCCAAGGAAAGAATTGCTTACATTTCTACACTCCAGAAATGAGTTTTAGTTGAAAAGCCAGTAACGTGGGGAGAAGTGAAAGAAGGGCAAAATGGAGAGGAGAAAATATTTGTTGTGTAAACAAAGGTCACTGAAAATATTTTTCCATTCAAACATAAACTTATTTATATTCTCACAAAAAAAAGAAAGCTTGTGGAATACACATTCTAGATAAAGTCAGTTAATTGGAACTACAATTCATTGTATTTTCTTTTTCACTGTGCTTAATGCTAACATTAAGGGAAATGACATTGGCATTTATAACTGACTAGTAATGAAATAACAGCCTCCCCTTCTTAAGAGCCAGGATTCAGAGCATTCAGAGAGGCATTTATGAATAAGCTTCAAACTTTTCTCCAGTCCCTACACAGTATCACGTGTACGGGAAGTCACCAGAAGTTACTACAGAGACACCAAGCGCCAGTGAGCAGAAGTGTGAGCGACATGCTCATGTTGGGAGAGTGTTGGTCAAGACTGAAGAATTTTGACCAAGCGATATGTGTCGTGGTAGCGGCTAAGGGATTGAAAATGAATGTTGAGAATACAGTATCTATAGAAGTGATGGGGAGCATCACTACATACAAATATGTAACATGGGCATAACTTTTTAAAGTGATAGTTTTTCAATCTTTCTTGTTATTAACTTATACTTGTCACGGTGCTGTTATTTTTAAGTACAAGTTCATTAAGTTTTTCAGCCCAAATACTTTCAACTGAGAAAGTGGAGGAGTTCCTAAAAGGCAGTTTCGGTCCTTATTCACTGTGAGTGCTTATGCTACTTTTGGACACATTCACTGCAAATCATTAATCTTTTTCAGTTACAAAAATATTTTATTTTTGACATACGTTTAGAGTTACAGTTTCCATCTGGCTGTTAGTCAGAGCAATGTGCCCTCATTGCAAATACCTTTTTAGACCTTTTTGTCCAGACCACGCCAATTTATCCTAGTTGAGTTTTCTGTTAATTAGATATGATTTAAAGAAAAGAGTAGGAAACAGTTCTGACAGTGGATTAGTATGTTAACAATACCTTATTTAATTATAAAATGATTTTGTATTTAGAAGTCTAAGATCTAGGCAATTTCTGAATTGCCTAGATCCCCCACAGCTTTGCTTGATACTGTAAACAGGTTTGTTATATAAAGATAAAGACATACAAAAAATATGGCTGGCTGTGAGGGCTTGATTCGTACATTTATTTTTTTCAAAGAAGGTTAATACGAACTCTTCTGCTTTCCCTTGTTTTTGATATCTAAGCTGAAAGTGCCTTCTCAAAGAATAAGCAGTATTTTTTAATACTCTTCACTTTAATTTTTTTCATACATAACAAAATGCTAGAGCTTGCTTATAAAAGGTGATCCACTTTGTTTGCAAAGGATTCCTTCATTTTCAAAAGTTTCTGCCTCCTCTGTGCTCTCTCTCCCTGCTTTTCTGGCCAAGGACGTTTTCTCATTTTTAGTGAAGTTCTTTTCTTTTTTTCCTTACGTAGTGATTTTGGTTTTCCTTTGTTCTCCCTATTTGGTATGCGCATGAAAGCGGATGGTCTGTCGTTCTCTGGGAGCAAATCCAGACAACCTAAAGGACCCAATTAAAATTAGTATTCCACGCTATGTCCTGTGTGGGCAGGGAAAGGATGAACACTATGAGTTTGAAATAAAGGTAAGTGCTTTTCAGTTGCTTCTCGTTAATGTTTGGGGTCTCTGTACACATGTTGCTTGCATTTGTACAATAGTAGTATCATGGTGGCAATAATAATAGAAAAATGCCTTTTGTTTAAAACCAAATGGTTCCTGGTTTGCTCTCTCCAGCCATCAGTGTTCCCTGTGACAGCATCGCAGTTAGCGAAGATGGAAACGGCAGCTGGAAACACACCTGAAGCTGCAGATTCCAGAAATCACCTTACTAACCCCAATGAAATGTAGTTTTTGTTTCACTAAGTGAAATTTTTGGTTCTGTCTCTTTCTGTTGTCTAAGTGGCCTCAGTACTGTTAAACCAGAGAGGTTGTGAGAAGGCACGCACAATACAGGGTGCTAAAAGACAAGTCTTTTCCAAGTGGATTGATTGTACACGGGAGGTTGGTGGTCAGACTCCTGGGGTGAGCAGTTCCAGACCCAATGTCAAATAATTCAGTTGAAAGTGTTGCAGAGATGAGGATTAAACGCACCTTGGTTATAGGAAAACCCATTCTTGAGACGCGAGCATCAGGTGTAGAAAATGATTAGACATGAAATATTTACCTATAATAATGAAAGCATAATTAAGTTGTTTTGCACGTATCCACAACAAAGGCTTGATTCCTTTTGGGCACTTTGCTGTTCTGATTCTTCCCACCCTGCGTTTCCCAGGTCTCGCTTCTCTAAACTGTTATCTGCTTCCCCTCTATTCTAGTGGCTTCTTCAGTTGATCCTCTGCGCAGAAATGCAGGGGAAAAAAATGCATATTCATTATGTTTCCTCTAGTACTAAGTGTTTTTTCAAAGCAAGATGTGACGTCTAATTGGAAATGTGCATGTGGACATGTAGCATAACTCATGTACATGGCATCAGAGACAGAATTGGCAGCCTTCATCGCTGAATGTACTGCCAGATGCTTGTTAGCTGGTGTAAGTTGGAGGAGTGACCTGCCCTCGCAGTGTGCAGGACCATTTTTGAACTATGCTCGCATTCTCTTTTACAAAGGCTTTTATTAATATGGGCAATCTTAGCTCTGTTTGTACTAATTAAATTTTCATCTGGAAACATACTGCACAATTTGTGGATGGAATACTTCCTTTTGCCTTTTGAACTTTGCATTTCCTGGGGCCAGCGAGAGCCCAGAGCCAGAGAGATGCTGAGAGAAGAGTAAGCACATATGAAACTTCCCTAAGGACTGTTCTACTCACCAACTATTTTCAGCACACAGGATTTACTAAACTGGGTAATGGTTAGTGAAGGTAGATAAAGTATAAAATGTATTTTCTCTTTTTAGTAAGTACTTTTCCAAATATTTTCCCTTCATCCCTAAAACCCACATAAGCATCTGCAAGATCTTAGGATGAAGGGGCAGTTAAAAGAGTATGTGCGGGAAGACTTGGACTTACCTGGAAGGAAATGTAGTAAAAGAAAAATGTTAGATGGTGGTGGGATTCATAACCAGGAAGGAACAGGAGGGTATATCAAGGAGATATACAAGTGCATATAAAACTAGGCTCCAGCAGTTCTGTTGCTTGAATTTTGTTTCTGTGAGAAAAGAGACTTGTGACCTAACCTTTGTAATGGTATAGAGTGAATGGATGCTCTAGCTAAGAGCGATGTATATGGAATAGCTGTTCTCTTCTGTCATACTTGCCAGTACAATCTTTTCTGTCTCTCCTGTGCCATCTCTAGGCTGCCTCTGAAAGAAACTGCTGCTTAAATAACTGCTTTGGTGAAGTTCAAAGCAAAGAAATGGGTGACATATGGGGTAGGGGATGGTCTATCGCTTTAATAATTGTATTCCATTGCTGTCAACTTCTTTAGAGCACTAAATGTTTTTACTGAAGCTCTTATGGACCTTAGTTGGGCAGTCTTTGGGATGTTTCTTGTAGTCATTCTCTTACACAAATCGATCAACTGTTTATGCTTTTTCCTTTTCCTTCAGGTCTCTGCATGTCACAGTGGGTTGCTTTTGCTGTGGTCAGGATTTGGCTCCAAGCTACAGTCCACAGACCTTCCAAAAGTTTTCTATTTTAAACCTTTCCCCTGCAGAGCTCCCAGCTCTACTTTGATCTATATTAATCTTCAGCTGCTGCTACGGTTATTCTATGGGAAATCAGAATGCATGGAATAGTAATTTTTTTTAAAATTTTTTTTTGCCCTCCTTAAAAATCAGGAAAGTAGGAAGACAGGGCAAGGAAGAGAGAACATGTACCTGTTTATTTCATCCCTTCCTGATGGGTCAGGATACAATGTCAGTTGTTGAAATAATTCCCGATTTCAGCCATACTTCACTTGGTTCAAGTTTATTTTCAGGTGATCTTATATCAGAGTATGTGTTAGTCTTGGGGAAGGGCTGAGGTGGTGTTGATGTTATTTGCTTTGCTAGATCCCAGATAAGATCTCTTCACCAAGGTCCCTCTTGCTCTTGGGAAAATGCATAGCTGACCTATTTGCATGTAACAGCACTTTGAAATCTGACAAAGGGACAAGGGATGATTGAGTGGAATTGTAAAACAGTCCCCAAACATTTGAATCACCTAGGTATCTCAGAAGTATTTGCTTCAGCAGATGTTTCTAGTCATTGTGTTTGTAGTTAAATCGTGGCATATTGCTGTATAGAGGAACAAATATACTAAATTTCTATATATAAAAAAATATATAAATTTCTTCTTGTAACATGCAATAGTAAAGATTATTTATTTCCTTTGTATGCCAAAAGAGAGACAGCGAGTTCCACTTTTCTTGGCAGCATCACAGTCAGTTCATAAGTCTTTCAACCCTAACGTATCATCCAAAAATATTTTCTTTTAGTGCAGGTTCAGCATCTTGTCTATCTAGATGTTTGGGAATGGGCCAGCAAGATGGTCTGTCCACTCAGGTTTTTCCACTGGATACAGATCCTGCTTTAAGATGTTGAATGACTCCCATGAGAAAGAGTTCAAAATAGAAACAAAACCATACTTTATTTGAGTTAAGATAGCACCTTCTCCTTTTGCAGCAAGAGATGTTTGTGCTGGTCTGCTATTAATATTCAGTATGAATAGATACATTTCCAAAAAAACTTCCAGTTGAGTGTCAGTTTTATATGTTGTCTTTAAAGACATGATGAAACAGTAGTAAAATAATCAGGTCTAAACATATTTATGTTAGAACTGAATTAGAGTATCAGAAAATTATTCTTGTATTCTCCTCTTCCTTTCATGTTGTGTGATATGTGGAATATTCAGACAAGGCTGTGCTAGAAACAGCGTGTGGTAAGAGCTTTTGCATCAATAAGACCGCTGGCGTCTCTTACAGCCAGTACCTATGGATGGCAGAAGATGCAGGGAGGCAGCAGGGAAGGGGGAACTCCAGCTCACATAAAGGCACACGGGGTCTCCCGAGAGCAGGTGATGGAAGCAAAGCCTGGAATCAAGTACAGCCCTGCAGGGGATCCTCTGACAAGAGGGAAAGTTGTAGATAAGGCTTCTCATTTTTATTCAGTTTTCCCTTGTTGTTCTGATTTCTCTCATTTTATTTATCTTGTTTGATATTCTTTCAAAACTTTTTTTTTTCCTTGTGTTTCAAAGCCTTTCAGTCATCTTTGGCGAGTTCTCTATAGGAGAAGATCCAGGCAGATGCACCCCAAAGCAGTGCTTCTCTCCAGGTCTGGTCACAGTTTTGTGCAGCCAAATGCTGTGGTGGGTCTGCTCAAAATGTCCCTGTTTCTAGTCAAAGTTTCCTTCTGAGCTCAGCGAGCTATTGCAGGATTGGTGTAAAGCAGAAGCAGTGCTCATTGATACGTAGTTCTTAAAGAAAATGATGTATGCCCAGTATCTACCTAAATTAGAAAAAAAGAAGCAGCCCTATCTTCCCTCAACTTCATTCGTTTAATAAAAAAAGATTCCAAGAAATAGATCTGCATAAATCCCTTAATATCTTGCAAGTTTGAGCTTTTCAGATGCTGTGTTCATAGTGTGAGGAACATTTTCAACAAGGTCTGTTTGGAGAAACAGGAATTTTCACAATTGCTATAGCCAGTTTAACCAGCCCAGATAAGTAGGGTGGGCATGCTCTGTTCTTTCTGATTGCTTCAAAATCAGGTGGAATATTCCCCCCTCCCATAGGTTTTACTTTTATTTCTGTGGGGCAAAAGGGGAACAAATTCTGTGATGGTGATGAGGCTTTGGGCAGCCTGGTCTAGTGGAGGGTGTCCCTGCCCGTGGCAGGGGGGTTGGAACTAGATCAACGTTGAGGTCCCTTCCAACCCAAACCATTCTGTGATTCTATGAAATAAGTTGAAAATGTCTGTTAGGTTATTTTCTGTCAGTTGTCATAGAGAAGAAAAGGAGACAAGACTGTAGTATCTCCTTTCAAATTTGGAAGGTTTACTTAGGAAATAGTGTGCCTGAATAAAAAAAAAGTCACAATTCTGTGGCAGGTCGAGGATCACATAGGTCCCCAGATAAGAATATTTTGAAAATCTGGCTTACATATTTACTCAACTATATATATGTATCTTTATTAAGAAAATATTTTAACTACTGTATTAGCAAATTACAAGTAAAAATTAAAGAGCTTTTCAAATTTGTTTTACTTGCTGCTGTTCAAAAGATCTACATGTTTCTCAGTCCCATGTGTACAGAGCTTATTTAGTCTGTCATACAGCTTTTTTAAATGGGGGAAAAAAATCCCAGCCCAAACTGGTTGGATCAGCTGCAGAAGTAAAAGGCCCTGTTCTGGAAATGCTGTTGCTATGCCAGGTGTGCTGTAATTCTCTGATTGATCCTAACAACATTCTTGTTGAGCTTTGGGGACGGGTTAAGATTTAGTTTAGCTTTGAAATTCATTTTCCAATAATATCAGGAGTAACAGCAGTAAAATTTTGCAATGCATTACCTGCTAGTCTCATTACAAGCATTAGGAAAGTAAACAAAGAGGATGACAGGGACTGAGTCAGGGCAAGGTAAGCCACCAAGGGAACGTTCTAGAGACATTCCTTCAGTTCTTAGGCAGCACAGATAATATGGCTCTACTGGTTTCCTTCCTGTCTGTCTCTAACAAGTTGCTGCCTAAACTTCATAGAAGAAAGCTAATAAATAATTGGCTGCAGGCGATTTGATTCGGGTGAGTTTGGTACCACCTTATCACCCAGACAGCTGTCAGATGCACAGCTAACAACTGGATTGGCAAACTGATGTACGTGTTCTTCCCCAGGCCGTGTAGCTGGAAGAGCCCTGGATGCTTTGTGCTAGATTGCTCACCTAAAGGTATGCTTCTTTGAAAACCCTAGGGGGAAAAAAGGTCACTTTTGAGTAAAGGTCATGTACAAATGAAATCATCACAGCAAAATTTCTTGACTCAGAAATACTAAAATACAGAATTATA